CAGACTCTTGCCAGGGTGGGGAAGTCCTCTTTCCTTACCACTGAGAGTTGTGGGGTGGCAGGGGGAGGGTGGTCAGGGAGGAGGCGTAACTGATTTATGGTTTACGTTAGAGTTAATGGTCATTTCATTTCCTCATCTTGCTTATGTTATTTTAAGCATGAAGCCTTTCCTGATCTGCCCAACTGCTACCAAACTATCCTTTCTCCCAAACTACCCTGTTTGTAAATAGATTGCATATGTTTGTGTTTATTCTCTTTATATTTATTCTATGTATGCTTATATGTGTTCCTGTTGTCTTCCCATTAGAATGTAAGGTTCTTGTGACTGGATTATTTTATTCTTTGTAAAATTCTTAACACCTAGCACAATGCCTAGCACATAGTAGGGGCTTAATAAATGCTTGTTGATTGATTGAAACACTATTTACCCCTCAATAATACTGAAGTAATTCATACCTATAACATTTTCATGAATTTTAAAAATTGCAACCTAAGTGAAAATTGGTCAGTAATTGAAAAATAGCCATATTGCTGGTTGTAGAATCCTAAGATTAGTCCATTCCTTGCATGTTTTCATCTAAAAGTTATCCAGATGAATAGTTATCCATTTTCTTTTTAAAAACTCTCCAGGAGAGTAAAGTCTGTAACTAAATGGAGATTAAAAAAAAAATAATAACAAGCTTTTCAGGGTTTAAACTACACTTTTTTTTTTGGTCTTAATTTATTTTTAGTTTTCAACATTCACTTCCATAAGATTTTGAGTTTTAAATTTTCACTTCCCTCCCCCCCCGACAGCATATAATCCGATATAGGCTCTACATATACATTCATGTTAAGCATATTTCCCTATTAGTCATGATGTAAAGAACAATTAGAACTAATGGGAGGAACCACGAGAATGAAGCAATAAAACAAAATAACAAAGGAAAAGGAGAGCGAATAGTGTGCTTCCATCTGCATTCAGACTCCATATTTCTTTCTCTGGGTGTAGATAGCAGTTTCCATCATGAATCTTTTGTAACTGTCTTAGATTCTTGCGTTGCTGTGAAGAACCATGTCTATTGAAGTCAGATATCCCATAATGTGGTTGTTACTACATACAACGTTCTCCTGGTTCTGCCCATTTCACTCTGCATCAGTTCATGTAAGTCTTTCCAAGTTTTTTTTAGTTCTGTCTGCTCATCATTTCTTATAGCACACTAGTATTCCATTACATTCATATACCACAATTTGTTCAGTCATTCTCCAATTGATGGGCATCCCCTCAATTTCCAATTCTTTGCCACCACAGAAAGAGCTGCTATAAATATTTTTGTACATGTGGGTCCTTTTCCCATTTTTATGATCTCTTTGGGATACAGACCTAGAAGTGCTATTGCTGGGTCAAAGGGTGTGCACAATTTTATAGCCCTTTGGGCATAGCCCCAAATTGCTCTCCAAAATGATTGGATCATTTTACAACTCCACCAACAATGCATTAGTGTTCCAATTTTCCCACATCTTCTCCAACATTTATCATTGTCCTATTTTGTCATGTTGGCCAAACTGATAGGTGTGATGTGGTATCTTAGAGTCATTTTGATTTGCATTTCTCTAATCAATAGTGATTTAGAACATTTTTTCATATGACTATAGATGGCTTTAGTTTCTTCCTCTGAGAACTGCCTGTTCATATCCTTTGACCATTTATCAATTGAGGAGTGACTTGCATTCTAATAAATTTGGCTGAGTTATCTATATTTTTTAGAAATGAGGCCTTTATCAGAGACACTGGTTGTAAAAATTCTTTCCCAGTTTTCTGCTTCCCTCCTAATCTTGGATGCATTGGCTTTATTTGTGTATAAACTACACTTTAAAAATACTTTTTGTTATCTTTTGTTTTTATATTACCTACATTTGTCACTGTATTCTCCTCTTCACTCCCTTATAATAAAACCTTCTCTTATAATAAAGAAGAAGAAGATTCAGCAAAATAACCAACATAAAAAACCCAAAACTTTAGAGTCATCTTTGACTCTTCCCTCTTCTTTACCCTCTTTCCTATACAGAAGGGGAATAAGCATTTTCTATAACACCTACTATGTGCCAGGTACCGTGCTAAGCTCTTTACAAATATTATTTCACTTGGTTTTCATAACAACTCTATTAAAGTAGGGGTGTTATTATCCTTATTTTTACAGTTGAGGAAACTGGCAAGTTGAGATTAAGTGACATGTCCCAGGCCATAGAACTAGAAAGTGTCTGAAGCTAGATTTGAACTCAGGTTTTTCTGACTTCAGGTCCAGTGTTCTATCCACTGCATGAGCTGGCTGCATCTATAGCTAATCAGTTGTCAAATCTTGTTAATTTTAATTTCATAAGCCCTCCTGTATCCATCCCCTTGTCTTTACTCACGCTGCCATCATTTTAGTTCAGGCCCTCATCACCTCTTTCCTGAACTCTTAAAATAACTTTATGATTGATTTCCCTGCCTCAAATCCCTCTCCTTTCCAATCCACTTTTCATCCAACTATCAAAATAATATTCCCAAGGCAGGCATTTAACTGTGCTACTCCCCTGCTGAAAAGCCTGCAGTAGCTCCCTGTTGCCCCTAAGATAAAATATGAAAATATGAATTCCTCTTCTCTACAAGAAAGACAGTGAAGAAGAGGGAAGAATCAAAGATGACTCCAAAGTTTTTTTGTATGGTGGTTATTTTGCTGAATCTTTTTCTTCTTTATTATAAGGGAGGGAAGGGGAGAATACAGTGAGAAATGTAGGTGATATAAAATGAACATTTGTAAAGTATTGACTGTGCTAGGCACTAGACGAAGATCAAAATGAAACAGAACTTAGCCTCAAAACATGAATATGTTTAAGGCTCTCCACAATTTGGACTCGGAACTACTTTTACATTAGTCCCCTTCATGTATTCTGTCATCCTGCCAGATAGGACTACTGATTATTTCCAAAATACAACATTATTGTTTTTTGTTTTGTTTTGTTTTTTTGCCGTGGCTTGACTACCAGGTATTCACATAAGCTATACCTCTTGCCTGGAATGCATTCTCATCTGTGATTTTCAGAATTTTCAATTTCCCTCCATCCTTGGCTTAGCTGTCACTTACTCCATGAAGCCTTTCTTGGTCCCTAGGTATTAATGCTCTTTCCCTGAAATTTTCCTTGAGTACTATCTAATTCTTCCCTTGCCATCATCACGCAGTGCACATCATACCATATTTACCTGCATACATATTGCATTTTCTGCTGGAATATTGTTCTTGTTTTTTTATCCCCAGGGCTCAGCACATAGTAGGGACTTAAATTATTTTTCGTGAATTGGATTGAAGTGCTTATCTCTTCTTTTATGTGATAAACCGTTTGAAGGTTGTATCTATCCTTGAGCACATACCCTTAAAGCATATATGTTATTGTTTATGACTGCCTCTCTCAGTTAACACATATTTGGTTTGATGGATGCCATTTCCTGTCTCTTTTGTTTGTCGGGGGAAGCTATGTTGCTGTCTAATTAGCTTTCTTGGCAAGATTCTCAGTGTCACCTTTTAAATATTGTGGACTACAAAAGCTTCATCCTTTTCTGTCCCTCATCTGTAGTCAGACCTCAGAAAAAATGGGTGTTATGACTCTATTAAGGCAATGACTTTCTTTTGCTATTATGATAAGATTCTCTCATTTGAAACTGGTCTTTTCCTTTTAAGGAGGTGGGTGTTGAGAGGGGAGAACTCCCATAGTGAAGCCAATAGACATCAGATTTGAAACAGAATTTGGATTGTAGAAGGTGTGATTTTTGGTTCCAACTCTCAGAGGACTTAAAAGGACCAGTGCAATTTCAGCAAACATTTGTAAAGTGCTGACTATGCTAGGCACTAGACAAAGGTCAAAATGAAACAGAACTTACCCTCAAAAAGCTTACCTTCTTTGGAGAGTAGATCATAATAGAAAAGTAGGAAGATTTTGCTGTGTTCGTTTACACATGATGTGAGTGAATAGGGAGTGGAGACCACTTCTCTGTTTTTCTCTGCCAGGCCAGTGACCAAACCATCTCTCTCCTTTCTTTCCTTATTATTATTTTTTTTTTTCATTCCTGTGTTTCATTCTTCCATATGCCTGCACATGGAGCTTCAGTGGGGTCTGGAAGAGGTACTACTGATTTGTTACTGAGAGTCAAGTCTCCCACAGTGTTCCACTGACCAAATGCTAAACTCCCCAGGAATTGTTAGGCGGAAAAGGGAGTTGAAGTGAACCTCAAATCCCTTTCTAAAATAGTGTCAAACATTACTGTCCCCAGTGATAAACCACAAGTCCAGAGGACTGAAGATGAAACATACCATCCACCTACTGCCAGAGACTTATGATACAGAATAATACATATGTTTTTGGCCATGGCTAATATGGGAATTTGTTTTGTCGCACTGTATGTATTTGTTCTGAGGATTTTCTTTTTCTTTTATTATTTAATTGGGAGGGGGGCAATAGGTGGGAGAAATAAATAAGTGCTTATAAAAATAAATAAATAAATAGCACCACAGCCCTCAATTACTATGTGTACTTAGAAAAATAATTTTAAAAAGAAAGTAGATATAATGAAACCCCTTTTATCTAGGAACATGCATTTCCTTTTTTTTAAATTTATTTTTGTTCTGAACGTAATCACTAAATTATTTGTATAAACACAGTAGACCAGGAAAAGCGGATTGGACCCGGCAGTAAGCTGTTTCAAAGAAGAGGCATTTTAATATGATAGAGCTCCAGTTTTTTTTTCAGCACTGTTTAGATACTTTATTATGCATTTGCCTAGCCATGCTATGGGAAAAAAACAGAAAGAAACAGCAGTGGGTACTGCTTGAAAAAGACAAATAATACAGAATGCAGGTTTAAAAAAAGTGAGGTAGGTCTAGCCTTTCCATCTTTTTCATTGTTTCATTTACGCAAATGCTGAAGACCCCTGTTGAGATGTGGGGGATGTTGGGGAAACTCTGAACATTATTCTCTTTTAACTAGGAAGCTCCTCAGAGTTCTCCCTCTGCCAAGTGGAAACTGGAATGCCTTAGTTGACGAATGGTGTTGCCACCCAAATCCCTTTGCTAATAAGCCACTTAATCCTGGAGAGAATGACTGTTTCATTGGAGACACTCACTTGCTGGTGAATTTAAGAAGTGACTCATGTGTGCCAGGACCTGAAATAGCCCAAGCGGAGACTCACCAGCCTTCAGAGAGCCATTCGGAATCGGTAAACTCTTGTCTCAAAAGTAAATGCTAATTTAGATGTTGCCTTTGACACTGGCTTCTCCAGGCTTTCTTAATTCAAGGCTTGTGACTGAGATCGTCCTATTAAGTGAAATCCTTTATTTTCAGCTGCCTTTGTTCTTCTAGGCTATGTTCAAATGCTACAGAATGCATACATGGTCTTTAAAAGCTAAAACTGCTTTGGAGGTAGGAGGAAGAGGAAGAGATGGCGAATGCAAATGTCATATCTCTTAACGTAGGGGTGGGGAACCAGCAGCCTGGAGGCCACAGGTGGCCTTCTAGGTCCTTGGGTGCAGTCTTTTGACTGAGTCCAGGTTTTACAGAACAAATCCTTTTATTAAGGGGATTTGTTCTGTGAAGTTTGGATTCAGTCAAAGGGCTGCACTTGAGGACCTATAGAGCCACGTGGCCTTAAGGCCTCAGGTTTCCCACTGCTCTCCTAATGGACAGGCATAGACTGGAGGATTTTCTGTGACGCTTTTATGTGATGTGGACCAAATAATGCAGGTGTCCATTATTAGGGAGACGTGCAATCCAGGAACCAAGAGTTGATGGTCACACTGTACTTTGTCCATCAGATCACAGCATTCGATCAACAAGCATTTATTGTTTAATGTATGCCAAACGCCACTCCACTGAGGGCTGAGAATACAAGGAAGCAAAAACAGTTCCTGTCCTCAATGAGCTTAAATTTGAATGGGGGAGACATTTTATACATGCATGCATGCATACATAAATATAAATATGAGCATATATTCATATTATATAATATCATATATAGCATTAATATAATATATTCATAAATATAACTATATAAGATTTATAGAATTATAATATGTTATATAAAATATAGATATATATGTATATATCACACAGTATATGTGTACATAGATGTGTATAGGCATGTGTGTATACACACTGTATACATGTGTATATAAGCATATATACAATAAGTATGTATAAATATATGCATTACATATGCAATGTGTTAGCAATAGATGCATTTATGAGTGCATACGGGCATCATACATGTATACATATATGTATATATAAATACGTGTTATATAAATATATAAAATATGCATGCGTATAGAAATATATAAATATACACGCATATATAAATATGCATTATATATATGATATAAATATATATTTTTATGTGTGTGTAGATTCACACAGAGTTGCTAGAAAGTAACCTTTGAAGGGAAGGCTGTAGTATCTGTGGGGAATGGGACAGGTCTCCCATAGAAGATGGCTTTTTAGCTGAGTGTCAAGGGAAGCCAGGGGTGAGGATGAGAAGGGAGAATATTCCAGGAATAGAGAATAACCGCGGGAGGAGAAGCACCGCGCGTGAAGACGAGCAAGCAGAGCAGGATGGCTGGACTGGAGAGTTTGTGGAGAAGAAGAATGCGTCAGAAGACTAGAGTATTGTATTCAGTTTGGAGGACCACATCTTAGGGAGGTCAGTGATCAAGCTGGGGAACACCACGGTCAGCTTGATGAAAGACCTAACGTTTGTGTAGTGCTTTAAGGTTTAAGAGCGCTTTGCTTTACAAATAGTGCCAGTGCCTCCTTTGATCCTCAACAACCACCACCACCACCACCACCCTAGAAGGCAGGGGCTGTTATTATTTCTGTTTTACAGATAAGGAGATCAAGGCAGACAGGTTAAGTGACTTGCCCACGGTCACACTGGTGGTAAGTGTCTGAGGCTGGATTTGAACTCGGGTCTTCTTGCCTCTAGATCTAGCTCTCTATCCACCACTTTACTTAGCTGCAACACTCTAAGTGTCAACGTGGACAAGTCATGCAACCCTTTTTTGCCTCATTTTCCTTATCTGTAAAATGAGGGAGTGATTCTTAATGGCCTCTGAGGTACCTTCTAGCTCCATATCTGTGATCCTGTGACCCTATGATTTGATGTGTGGTCTCTCCAAATCCAAATGGGGGTTTCCCATACTTGAAAAATCAGGTTTAGTTGTTTGGGTTTTTTTGAAACTTTAGAATAGGATTAAATGTTAGTGTTTCCAAAAATAGACTCCTAAAACATCTTCTGATTCAAACTTGTAGCATTTTGCATCTTTTAAGCTGGTGCTAAACAACTTGTTCTATTCTTCCTTCAAAAAAAAAAATCCAAAAACAAAACTTCTTAGAGAAGTAATGAATTTTCAAAGAGACAAATTTAGGCCTTAATATGAGGAAAAATTTCCTAATGATTAGACGTATCCTAAAGGTAGTGGTGAATTCCCTGTCACTAGAGGTTGCCGCATACAGATAAGTAATAACTTTGAGACATGTCATAGAGGGGATTTCTTTTCGGGTATAGGTTAGAGTAGATGGCCATTGAGGCCCATTCCAACTCTGAAATTCCATGGTCTGTTGTTCAAACCGCAGAAAGTCACGCTTTCTCATTTTCTTACATCAGTTGGTTGTCCCGGTGCGTGTTACATTTTGCCCTCAGGGTCTGATTTAAATTAAGGTAGTGTTTCGTTGCTGTAGGATATATATTAGTAGTATGAGTAGGTTTGGGTAATTTCCTCTGTCTGCCCAACGTCTAGACTTCTGATGTGATAAAGACAGATGCCATTTAAAGAACAAGCGAAGGAAGGCCCGAAATAGAAGGCTCTAACGTGCAAAATTTCTATTTTTAAAAAAAATTCATTTTCAGGCTAAGTTGGTTCTTGCTCCAAGTTCTTTAGGAAAAAGGGGTAGCTGCCTCCTCTCCCCAGAAAGAAGTAGTAGATTTGATTTTAAAAATTAATCAGTGCCATTGGATTGACACTTAAGAAATCACAGTATCACCGAGAGTTAGAAAGGGATTTTAAAGGTTATCTAGTCCAATAGCCTCATTTTACAGGTGAAGAAACTAAAGCCCTGATGTGGTTGAAGTGACTTTCCCAGGGCCACAGATAATAATTGCCAAAGTTGGGATTTGAACCCAGATACTCTGACTCCAAATTCTCCTTGAGAATAAGGAGTTTTTTGGCTTTCTTTGTATCCTCAGTACTTAGCACAGTGCCTGACACATGGTAGGCACTTAATAAATGCCTGTTGATTCTTGTTGACTCCAATTCAACACTCTACTCTGTAGCATTCTGTCATTCCGTGAAACCAAACTGTTACAGATATAGCTAAAGTGGTAGCTCAGCATTGTTGCTAAAACCTATTCCAAGTTCTAAAGCATAGTGGTCAGTAGAAATAAAAAGTAATTTTGACTTTGTAATTTTTTTTTAAAGTAAGGACTAGTGTTAATGTTCAATAAATAGCAGTGGGTGCTGGGGACCCCAAACCAAAACTCGAACAGTTCTTTGCCCTCAAGGAATTTATATTCTATCAGGGGAGACGAGATGTACCTACAACACATATAGAATAAAAACAGAATTAATACAAGGTAGTTTTGGGGGGATTGCTCTAGCAGCTGTTTATCAAATGGCTAGATAAGATATTAAGGGATAGGGAATAGGGAGGAGCAAACATTTGTTAAGTGCCTACTACTCTCAGTGAAGTACTTTACAGATATCTCAGTTGATCCTAATAATAGTCCTGGGAGGTAGGTTATTATTATTATTATTATTGTTATTTTTTCATCTTACAGTTGTGGAAGGTGAGGCAGACAGACGTTAAGTAACTTGCCCAGGGTCGCAAAGTTAGTAAGTGTCAGAGGTCACATTTGAACTCAGTTCTTCCTGACTCTAGACCCAGTGTTCTATCCACTTGCCATTTAAAGCCATTAAAGCCATCCAGGAAAGGCTTCTTGTAGAAGGTGATGCTTCAGTTGAGATTTTTGAAGGAAGGCAGGCAGGCATTCAATCAGATAGTGGGGAGGAGGAGGTGCATTCCAGGTAAGGGGGGTAGACAGAGTGTTGTAAGTGAGGAAAAGTAAGAACAATTGGGGGAGGATCATAGAGCGGAGAAAGGTCAATAATGTATAATGAGGCAGAGAAATAGGTTGAGGAGATAATGTGCTAGAGTTGGGCCCACATCTCACTTAGTAAATAGGTTTGTGGAATCTCTTTATGTGTAGAAAGAGATTTCAGAATAAGGGATTTCTTGGGAGTATCAGTCAAATTGTTATCAGTGAGAATTATTTAGGTACCTCATCCATCATGTTGGGCCTAAATCCCTTTGCCCAGATAGAATACATTATCAGTGATGACACTTTAGTGCCTTGCAGTGGTAAAAGATAAAGGTTAGGATCCAAGCTAGTGCTACTGACGATAACTTCGAGGTTGTTTCAAATCCTTTACCTTTTCATCATTGTCATTGGATTTTAAATTAGTAATCATTCAGATATCTTTATTGTGCTAGTGGTGGGGGGTTGGTGTCGAGGTAGGGGAAGGGTAGTTTAAGTAAAGAGCAGTTGTACCAAGTGCCCTGTTTAAAAAAAGAAAAAATTATAGATAGTTCAAGACTTAAAATAACTGACCCTCTCCCTTCCTCCGAAACTTCCAGAGCTCCCATGTCACTGCCCTAGGGGCTCTTGTGAAAAACCTTGGGACCTTTTAGAGACTATGAATTCAGAAGTTGAAAAAGGGAACAAGCTGTGAAAAGCAGTAATGACAGAGGGAATCTGACCAGAGTAGAGTCCCAGGCAAGGTTGGGCTGTGTCTGCATGTGTCCTCCCTGTCCAAATATGTCTACTTCCCCTTATCCTTCATTCTGCCTTATTCCTTTTCTTGTCTTTCAATTGGAGATTAATTGGGATTACCAGTTACCTTATTTTAAAAATAATTTCTAACATTTCAAATGATGCCTTTTATTTTAACATCACCTTCATTTCCAAATGCATCCCTCTTCTTTGTCCTACCCAGTGATCCATCCCTTGACAAAGAAGCTAGAGAGGAAAAAAAAAAAGCAGTTCAGCAAAACTAACCAACACCCCAGTCAAGTCTGATAGAATATGCAGTATTTCATACCCTAGGCCCCCGCCTCTGCCAAGAAGAGATGAAAGTGCATTTTCTCATCACTCCTTTGGAGTCAAGC